CGGCATGACTAAACACCAAGGCGCACGGAACACTGTTACCTTCCCACCGAAGTGGTACCTATTTATCTACTTGCAATTTCTTGCTTTCGAACTGCTAGGTTGGCAGGAGCTGGGACTAGAGACGGGAGTTCACTCCATCATGCAGCACCCCTGGGTCTCGAACTGCTGAACTACTGACCTTCCACAGCCTGCAGTTCAGCGTCTTAACCACTTGAGCCACCGCAGTCCCCAGTAGCTCCCTTTAAAAGATCTCAGAGAGCAGGAGCGACATCTCCCTCTGCTGGAGATGCTAGGGAGCCACTACCCATTGGAATAAGCATCAAGCAAGACGTGCAGACAGTATGGTGCAATCGTAGCAGCCTCGCGTGGTCCACTTCTCCTGTTGCAGGGCGCAAAAACACAGCACAGCTTAAAAGGTTCTGCCTGTGATACTAGACAGGTTTACTCTGCTTTGGGATTTGGGGATGCCCTCTTGCTGCATATTTATCCCATGTTAGTGGCCACAGTCTAATGTCTGGGCCACCCATTTCCTGACTGCTTGTGGTAAACAGTGCAGATGCCTGTTTCCTTTCACGGGCCAGGGCCCATAGATGTGCCGCAGCTTCCTGCCATGCCCTCCAGGCACAGAGGATGTGGTGTGTGTGTGTGTTATGTTCTTGTGCCCCCCCTCCCTTCTGTGATATGAAGGACCATCAGAGTCTGCAGAGAAACATCAAATAAGTCATGGCCCGGATGTCCAGCTTTTAAAATTCTGCTTCTCTCCCTCCCCCCCAAAGGTCACTGCATTTAACAGGTGTGTTACCTTATCTGCTTATGCAGTGAACCACAGCAGTTGGAAGTGAAAATATTTAATGCTGTCAACGGAAAGCGAAAATACTTGAAACTGTCAAAGAATAACAAAACAGCAAATCAGTGATAAAAGCAAGAAAAACCAAGGAACAATACATTCCCCTATTAGAAATGGACAGGAGAACAGAATTTCCTTCGCCTGGTGCCTCACAGCTGTCAGATGAGGTTCCAGCCAAATGATGACCCACCTAAGCTCTGAAGGTGGAAGGACTCAGAGGAGAACTTTTTAATTCTTTATTTATTTGTTGGATTTGTATCCCACCCTCCCCCTGCATAGCCAGGGCTCAGGGCAGGTTACATCAAAAATATACAATACAGTGAACAATAACTTAGCAGTAAAAACATGGTTACCAGTCTAAAATCTAAACTAAGCCAGATGGCAATTAGCACAGTTTATAAGTTCTTTGAAGACTTTAGTATCAGTGCACACTAAAACCAATCCTGGGCAAATGGACAAACCACGGGGAGCAGCACAACATAGGTGGCGCTAGGCAAGAGCAGGGGAGGCCAGTGTAATGGGAACATCTGCCGCCTCAGCTGTGGGCTCAGTGGATCACTGTTTTACAGGCCCTGCGGAACTGTGTCAAGTCTCGCAGGGCCCTGATTTAACTTGGGAGAGAGTTCCACCAGGCTGGAGCCAGAGCCGAAAAGGCCCTGGCTCTGGTCGAGGCTAAATAAATGTCCTTTGGGCCGGGAACCACTTTTGATATAGATGAATACAGGTAGGTTCATATGGAAGTAGGTGGTCCTAACACACCTGTAAGGTAGACCAGTGTTCCTTATTTCCTTCTGTAATATGGAGGAAGGTTGAGTATCTCGTCTAACTCGAGTGTTCCTGGATAGGGTGAGATTTGAATCACGGATACTCTAGTTACTGTTAACCTCCCTATGCTGGATAGCTACCTGAACCAGAGACATGCCCTAGTAGGAGTAGCAGTGTTTGGGGGGAGGGGTAACTTACATGGTTGATTTATTATTACTATCATTGTCATCACATCAATATTGCGGTCAGATAACACAATATTGTGTTGAGAGCCAGTTTGGTATAGTGGTTAGGTGCACAGACTCTAATCCAGGAGAACCGGGTCTGATTCCTCACTCCTCCGCATGCAGCTGCTGGGTGACTTTGGGTCAGTCACAAGTTCTCTCAGAGCTGTTCTCTCAAGAGCAGTCCTCGAAAGCGCTCTCTCATCCCCACCTACCTTATAGGGTGTCTGTTGTGGGGAGGGGGAGGGAAAGGAGATTGCAAGATGCTCTGAGACACCTTTGGGCAGTGAAGGGCAAGGGATAAATCCAATCTCCTCTTCCTCTTCTTCATCATTGCTTCCCTTCATCCAACTTCATAGGGTAGCCCTGTTGATCTGCAGTAGAAGAGCTAGATTTGAATCCAGTAGCACCTTAAAGGCCAATCAGATTTCCAGGGTGTGAGCGCTCAAGTCATAGCTCCCTTCATCAGGTATCTGACGAAGGCATCTTTGACTCTCGAAAGCTGATACAGTGAAAATCTTGTTGGTCTCAGATGTGTCACTGGATTCGAATCTAGCTCGTCCATCAGCCAGTTGGTCTTTGGAGATTGCAAATCCAGTCGATAGACATCCAGCAATTCCAAAAGGGGGAAGGATGAGCTAAACTTAAAGCGGTTGACTACAGATCCACCCAAAATAGGTGGGAAATAAAAAGGTCTTCTCTTCATACACTTTTTGCCTTTTTGAAGGAGGTGAGGGAGGGAGAGAAATGTGGTGTTGCGGGTGAGAGCCAGTGTGGTGATGTACCTGGAATGTCAGAATGGGGCAAATTCTGTGGTAGGCAGGTCAGCTTCGACAACCACCGCAGCAGAGGGCTCCCGCCGCTTGCCGTCTTTGTCTTGTAAACCCAAGTGTAATTGCAGCTTGTTCCGGTGGGCTGGGAGCAGTCCAGCCATCAGCATCTGATGAGATTGCCGTGGCCTGGAGAAGCTCTGAAGTCTTCATCTCGCAAGCCTCTCCCTGTGCTTCTGACAGCAGCCAGAACGACTCCCTCCGTGCCGTTCTTTCTCGGTGGTGCATCCGTAATACCCGCAGCATTGTGTCTTTAATGTGAGGCAACAGCTGTTGAAGTGTAGCGCCGGGGAGAGGCGCGCATTGGAGACGGGACGCTCGGTTTGGCTGCGAGGGCACCGCTCGTTAGCGTGACAAAGTGGCGTGTCATCCGGGATGGCCGTGCGCTCCTGCGCCAGCCGGCAGTGGCACTGGTTCCCCGGGCAACCGCTTGGCTGCTGGGCTGGGGCCACTTTGAGAATCCAAAGAGAGGGCCTGGATCTTTAATGCGTAGCCTTGGGTTAAAAGTGAATTAGCTGGCGGAGGAGGAGGAGGAGGAAGCAGCTGATCCGCTGGAACAAAGTTGGAGTTCAGCCAGCAGGCTCTTGATTTCTTTTTTTCTCTCCTCCAGCTCCTGAAGGGAAACGTTCCTCTGGGCTGACAGCTGTGTGGGTGGCTCGGAACCGCTTTGCGGTCTTGGATCGGATGCACTCGGTAAGATGTAAAGAAGGGGAATGGTTTCTTTCTCCGCCCCCCTCCCACCCTCTGAGCTCTGAGTTTCCTCGTCGGGAGCAGAGAGACGTTTCTCCCCAACATATCTGCTCGTGCCACCCCGACCTTAGGTAGGGAGTAGGATCCAGCAGATAACGGCAACGCCAGTGCGGTTTGATTCCACACTCCTCCTCTACATGAAGCCGGCTGGGTGTCCTTGGGCCTGTCACACACCTCTCAGAAATCTCTCAGTCCCACCTACCTCGCAAGGTGCCTGTTGTGCGGAGAGGGAGGGAAGACGGTTGTAAGCTGCTGTGGGACTCTTTAGGGTAGACAGAAGTGGTATATAAAAACCAACTGTCCTTCTTTTCCCCTGGCACAGAGACTTCCCTTTAACATAAGGAGAATTCTCCTTGGGCCCGGTGGTGGTGGTGGGGGCAGTCTTGCCATTTGCAGAACAGACCCAACCCTGAATTCTGTGTAAACTGATGTAGGATTTGGGGGGGAGGGGGGGGGAATAAGTCATGCTTCAGAGTTGTGGGGAGCTTAAGTACGGGGATGTAAAAGATGGCTAAACTAACCCGTCTTGTAAGAATCAAGGGTGGGAGGCCAAAGTGTATTAGTAGAAATTGTTATTGGCATAATTATTGACTATAAACTGAGGCTATTGTACTTTGAGCATATTATGAGAAGACGAGAGCTACTGAAAAATGCAGTAGTGCCAGGGAAAGTTGAGGGCAGCGGGAAAAGAGGAAGACCCAACCTGAGATGGATTGACTCGATAGAGGAGAAGAAGAAGAGATTGGATTTATACCCCGCCCTTCACTCGGAGTCTCAGAGCGGCTTACAAACTCCTTCCCCTTCCCCTCCCCACAACAGACATCCTGTGAGGTGGGTGGGGCGGAGAAAACTGACAGAAACTGCTCTTTTTCAAGAACAGCTCTTATCAGAACTATGGCTTGCCCAAGGTCATCCAGCCAGTTGCAAGTGGAGGAGTGGGGAATCAAACCCGGTTCTCCCAGATTAGAGTCCGCACACTTAACCACTACACCAAACCGAGGCAGCCACAAAGGGCCCTCAGTTTGCAAGACCTGAGCCAAGGATGTTAACAATAAGATGTTTTGGAATTCATTAGTTCATAGGGTTGCCGAAGCCACACACAGTCAAAGAACCTCATCCTTGCAACGTTTAAGACTTTTGTCATGCCGACCTTGTGTTTTCCGTGTCCCGTCCTTTGCAGATTCTGATCAAGAACCTGAAAAACGAGATCACCAAGAAGGTCCAGGTCCCCAACTGCGACGAGATCTTCTACGCCGGCACCGGGAACCTGCTGCTGAGGGACGCGGATTCCATCACTCTCTTTGACGTGCAGCAGAAACGGTGAGGCGCTGGGCTGGCCTTCCTGGGAGCAGCCTCTGGCACGCCCCGCCGCCCTCCAAACTGCTCGGCTGGTTTTGCCGGGTGGGGGTGACCGTGGGGTGACTTTGGGAAGGCTGCCTGTGCCTGTGGTGAGCCCAGAGAGCTTGTTAGCTTCCCTTTGTCATCAGACATCCCATTCCTACATACTCCTTTTTTGCTTCTGGATTGGAAACTGGCTAACCAGATGCCACCCGTTAGCAGGGCAGACTTGGCCCAGGAGCTTCTAGTTCCTGATCCTCAAACTGTGCACTTGCTGCTTGTAGTGATGACTGGTGGCCCATTCCCAGGTTAACTGTCCCAGGTTAGCGGTCGGGTTAGAACGGATAAAAGGAAGTTCTTCTTCACCCAAAGAGTGATTAACACTTGGAATTCACTGCCACAGGAAGTGGCGGCGGCTACAAGCATGGAGGGCTTCAAAAGGGAATTAGATAGGCATATGGAGCAGAGGTCCATCAGTGGATATTAGCCACAAGGTATAGATAGGGGCTCTGGGGCAAGTGATGCTATGTCTTCTTGGTGCTTGGGGGGAGGTCAACAGTGGTAGGGCTTCTAATGTCCTGGCCCCACTGGTGGACCTCCTGATGGCACCTGGTATTTCTGGCCACTGTGTGATACAGAGTGTTGGACTGGATGGGCCTTTGGCCTGATCCAACATTGGCATCTCTCATGTTCTAACTCTTAGGGTAACTCAGGTATGTGCATACTGGTTAGGGTATGAATGTTGATCGTTCATGGGTAAATCCCTGCATTGCGCAGGGGGTTGGACTAGATGATCCCGGAGGTCTCTCCCAACTCTATGATTCTGTGTTTTACATGCAGAAGGTTCCAGGTTCAGTCCCTGGTATCTCCAGTCAAAGAGTCTAAGCACGTGTTGGGAGTGACTTTTCTCTGTCAAGCCCCAGTGAGCTGCTCCCAATCAGAATAGACAAGAGTAGACTAGAGAAGCCAACTGTATTAATCGTATTAATCTGTATTATTTTTATTTGGGGGGGGGAGTGCATAGCTCAGTGGTAGAACACAGAAAGTCCCAGGTTCAGTCCCCAGCATCTCTGGTGACAACTGAGGGGGGACAGGATAGAGGTTTACAAAAGTATGCATGGGGTAGAGAGAGTTGACAAAAAGAAGCTTTTTCTGCCTCTCCCAAAATACTAGAACTTGAGGGCATCCAATGAAGCCGATGGGCAGTAGGTTCAGGACAGACAAAAGGAGAAATGCTTCTTTACACAGCAAGTGATTAAAACGTGGAATTCGCTGCCGATGCAATGATAGCCACAGGAATAAACGGCTTTAAAAGGGGATTAGATAGATTCATGGAGGATAAGTCTACCAGTGGATACTAGCCATGGTGACTGAGGAGAACTTGCACATTCAGAGGCACTCAGTCTCTGAATCCCAGAGCCAGGAGGCAACATCAGGGGAAGGCCTCAGCCTCCATGCCCTGTTGTTGGCCCTCCAGAGGAACTGGTTGGCCCCTGTGTGAGCCCAGATGCTGGACCAGATGGACCACTGGTCTGATCCAGCAGGACTCTTCTGATGTTCTACCTAGAAAGGCACCTTAGATACCAGATACTGAAAGAGACCTTTCTTTATCCTGAAGAATAGACAACACTGAGCTAGGAGGACCAGTGCTGTCATGTTCTTGTATGCATTAAGGTGCCCTCATCTACCTCGATAAAAGGAACAGGTTTGGTGGGCCCGTTGGAGGGGCAGACTACAAGCATTGGGCATTCTTCAGGCAGTGTATTGCAAGAGGGCTCCAGGAGAGGGGAGGGCCAGAAACCCACCCCTTCAGTTACTGTGTGCCCTGGTATGTATCAAGAAAGACCTTCACAGGCAGGTGCTTTCTTCTTGCAGGACCCTGTCCTCTGTAAAGATCTCCAAGGTGAAGTATGTCATTTGGTCAGCTGACATGTCGCACGTGGCTCTCCTGGCCAAACACGGTAAGGGGGAAGAGGCTTTGTCTGTGTGTGTTGAAGGTTGTCTGTACGTTTTGATTCTTCCTTTTCCCTCCTCCCATCCTTGTTCCCTTCCATGCTTGTACGATGCTTCAGGAGAGACCTGTTGGCTTTAAAAAGCACCCTGCACAGTTTGAGGGTACGAAGGGCGCATGCATTCTCACAGCCTGTTCACAACAGTGCTATAGTTGAATGCCTAGAGTAGCAATACTGTTTGCAAGATTCATTTCAACCCTTTAACCTGAAGCTGCAATGCAGAGCCCACCTTTAACTGTTATGCCTGTCTTTCCCCCATTTTCTAAGATGGGCAGTATGGAGGAGGGAGGCTGGGAACATTCAGTTGTCGTTCAAGTGCTTATTTGCTAAAATCCCCTTTGGACGAATTGGTTCCACTCCTCCCTTCCTGCAGATCTCTCCTCAAAGCCATCTTTTGCACAACCCCTCTCCTCCTGAGACTAAGCCATGTGGTCACTGGAATGATGGGAGGGTCTTCCCTTGCTTGATCTCCACCTCCCTTAACGTCCTCTTTCTTGACTCACGTTTTAGTCTATAGCCTCACTGTCTCAAGTGAAGTGCCGCACCCTACAAGTGAGGACAGACAAGAAGTACTCCATGCAGCTCCATTAACTTGTGGGACTGGGGCCCCCCGCTGGTGGACCTCCTGATGGCACCTGGGTTTTGGCCACTGTGTGATACAGGGTGTTGGACTGGATGGGCCATTGGTCTGATCCAACATTGGCTTCTCCCTTATGTTCTTAGGCCTCCTGGCCACAGGACAAAGTGACAGCCATTCACTTAAATGGCTTTGAAATGGGATTAAGGCAGCAGAGTAGGGTGGCTGAATGGAGCCTGCTCAGTCAGGGGCAGTGTACCTCTGAACACCTGTTGCTGGCTAGCCATAAGGTGGGAGGCTGTGGTTTCCATGTCCAGCTCGTAAGCCTTGCAAGAAGGGTTGTCAACTCGAGGCTGGGAAATTCCTGGAGATTTGGGGGGTTGAGGAGGGGAGGGTTTGGGGAAAGGAGGGACTTCAGTGGAGTATAATGCCGTAGAGTCCATCCTCCAAAGCAGGCATTTTCTCCAAGGGAACTGAACGATGTCATCTTGAGAGGAGTAATTCTGGGAGATCTCCAGGTACCACCTGGCGGTTGGCAGCCCTCCTTACAGAGGTAGCTGGTTGGCCCTTGTGGGAAACAGGGTGCTGGATTAGATGGGCTTTGTAGTCTTCCTCTATAAATGGTCATTCTTCTCTTTCTTTCCCTGTGTTTTGTGTTCCCTCTGCATTCTTTCTTTCTCCTCCAAACAACAAAGGGGTGACGTAAGAGGGAGCTGCCTCCTGTAAACTGCATCTCTCATCTGTTCTTCTCTGCAGCCATCATGATCTGCAACAGGAAGCTGGACTCCCTTTGCAACATCCACGAGAACATCCGGGTGAAGAGTGGTGCCTGGGACGAGAGCGGGGTCTTCATCTACACGACCAGCAACCATATCAAATACGCCGTCACCACTGGGTGAGCAAGTGGGGTGGATGGCATGAGTCTTTGTAGCACAGCCTGGCCTCTTCGCAGGCTTCTGGCCAATATGTGTCACACAGAAAAAGCAGCAGCTGAAAATTTATTGTGGCACAAAGACTTGGCTGTTCTGGGCAGTCCCTTTAAACTTCCTAAACCCCGAACCCTTTCAGCAAGGCTTGCAGGACCACGAACTGGTTCGGCTCGCAAACAAACCTCCCTATTCAATTTGTGGTTCAGTTTGTGGCTCAGCTCCAAACCGGCACAAACTGCATTTTTCCAGTTTGTACCTATCCCTATTCTTAGGCAATTAAATTCTTGGGATTTGAAGGGCCCTCATAGTATGGCTCCTTCATCCTCAAAGGAAACCCAGGCCCATCCTTACCGACTACCCCATATCCTCAATCTAGGGATCATGGGATCATCCGCACCCTGGACTTGCCGATTTATGTGACCCGGGTGAAGGGGAACAACGTCTACTGCCTGGACCGGGAGTGCCGGCCTCGCGTTCTGACCATCGACCCTACTGAATTCAAGTTCAAGCTGGCCCTCATCAACCGGAAGTATGACGAGGTGAGATGGTAGCTGCAGAGATTGTGCTTCACTCACTCGTGGGCTGCTGTGATTTGGAACAGTGGGGGGGAACAAGAAGGGACGATTCTTCTCACGCTGCCCCGGCTTGAGTCTTTACCTGCTTTGCCATTGCCTGCCCTTTTGTGTATCTGCGAGGAGTGGAAACCATCAGCTGTGAGAAGGGAAGGATCAGACACCCCAGGGACAACTCCTATCCCTTAAGAGCTGCCACTCTGAATCAGAGCGAGTAGCCGTCTAGCCCCCAGTAAAAAGTAAAGGTTTCCCTTGCTCGAAAGCCAGTCGAATACGACTCTAGGGGTGCGGTGCTCATCCCCATTTCCAAGCTGAAGAGCCAGCGCTGTCCAAAGATTTCTCTGTGGTCATGTGTCCGGTATGACTAGACGCCGAGGCGCACGGAACGCTGTTACCTTCCCACCGAAGTGGTACCTATTTATCCACTTGCAATTTCTTGCTTTCGAACTGCTAGGTTGGCAGGAGCTGGGACCAGAGACAGGAGTTCACTCCGTCATGCGGCACTCGGGTCCCGAACTGCTGAACTACCGACCTTCAGGCCTACAGTTCAGCATCTTAACCACTTGCGCCACCGCAGCCCTTTTAGCCCTCAGTAGTCTGTTTCCAATAGAAGCCTCCATGATGAATTATCCCTCCTTTCTTCCAAAGGCAGCAAGCCCTTGGTTCTGGTCTCTTCCATGTCCTCCTCACAACAACCCTGTGAAGTAGCTTCAGCTGAGGGAGAGTCTGACCCAAGGTCACCCTGTGTCTTGTGTTCATCATTCCCAAATCTGGACCAGGCTAAATTTGTTTGTGGTGTATTTTGTCTTTCGCATTTTTTCCTTTTGTTGGGGGTTTTTTAGGCCACTTCGGGTTCCTTCCGGGCGAGAAGTGACCCGATAAAAATATCTCAATAAATAAAATTGCAGAGTTGGGGATATTTGAACCCAGATCTCAACAGTTCCTAGTGTGACACCACACTGGCTGTAGAGATGCCTCCAGAAAGCTCCCAGATGGAGCAGGAAGGCCACAGCACCCCCCATTGCTCATCCT